GTCGCAGATTTCGAAAAATTGCGTGCTTTAAACAATAAAAGGAGACTTTTTTAGGGCTTACCGTGGAGTCAAGTGCTTCTCGGTTGATGTTTCTGCAGTCGTGAGACAAATAGAGGGAGGTTTGGACCACCTTATCTGCTAAATGCTAAAAGGGAAGAAGGGAAATCACAGCCTCTTCAAAATCTCACCCTTTTAACCATTTAAAATTTACCACATCACACTAGCATTTTTCCCTTGAAAAAAGGCCCCACAACTTACCACAAAGTCCCTCTCCAAGCGACTTATTCCACGCAGGTAGTCTAGAGTCTCGATGTTATTCTCAATGAGCTTCTAAAATCCAAAGTGGGAAGAAAAACGAACGAACGACTTCAAAATTATCTTTTAAGGCTAATTTTTGAACTCGCCGCATGGTCTGTTTAGAAAGTTAATCAACTTTAAATTTGCCAACTAGTGCATTCACACAAATAATTTTTAGATTACTTGGGTGTCACGCAATATATTTTCTGGATCTTCACTACCCTAAAACAAAAAATGCCATTTAACAGCCGAAATAGGCGTACTTTACTCGCAAAATGGTGTAAAATTGACCTCACAAACAAACCTGTCCATCAGGCCGACTTTGACCGAGCGGGTGTCGAAGGAATGGCTCTTGTCGGTTGGGTTCATGAAAGAGGTAGCCATTGTCCTCCAAGTCTCCATTCGCCTCCATTGGCATCTGACAAGTATTGACATATGTGTTTATTCGTCGAGGGGTACAAACAAACAATCATGCCAGACTTTAAATTAAATCTGCCTAAAACTCACCTATATTGCGTGTGCTGACGACTGTACTGATTCTAGGCTGGAAGGAAAGAAATGAAGAGGGTGGAGGAAAAGAGGTATGTCTCACAGGTAATTGGTTCATTAACCATCGACTAAGGTGGACTTACCGACTTCAAATGCACAATGTGTACACACGCGCAACAAATAGGTTAGGCGTGAAAATACATGCTGCTGAAATACCCTTCACCAGCGACCTGACCTAGAGGCGTAGTCGAATCGGCGATTGCAAATGTGGTGCATGCACAACTCATTCGTTAGCCTAGACCCACTGCCAAGCAATGCGTGTCTATGCGGGTGTGTTTGTGCGCGAGTGTGCGTATGCAAATTCGGCGACCACCTCAATGGGCACTGGCAAAGTGGAGCACAAGTCCACACCTAACTCACCGTAAATCAAACATTCTCGAATTTGCATTGTGTACCAATCTCAAGGCGTGCTGCCCTTTAGTGAGGTGCCGGCTAATAAGGCGTCAGTAAGGAGTCAAAAAAGCTGTTTTTGCCACTTTTGGGGGGTGTTGTTCAACCTGCTTTCCTTCCATCCAAATAAATTACTACCAAAAAAAGTTGCACTCTTAAGTATAAATTTGTAATGCTGATTAACGATGATCTGCAAATAATGCGGTATTAAATGAAATTGTCCAATCAGTCAAATTATTGAATTTTGAAGGCCACAAAAACCGGGCAAAGTGTCAGTCAATAAAAAAGGGTAGTATTTATGTTTTAAATGACATTGTTTTCTTATTATCGATCAAAAAGGGAGGAGGGAGAAAATGCATTCATTTAAAAAACTTCATTAAAATTGTGATGTAATTTTAAGAAATACCTTTCTGAAACTGTCTGTTTAATGACTTCGAACTTTTGGAAGATTTAAATATTCATTACTAGAGTTTTTACGCATAAGATTTGTTTAGCATATTACGAAATATTTCAGGTGTATATACACTAATCCCATGTTTTATCAGGTATGCCTTTAGCTAAGCAAAGAAAGTGATTTTATTTTTCCGTCATGTCTCGAGTGCTGATCGGTGGATTGTGTAATTCAGCTACCATACAACGCACCCTCTTTGAATACGAGTCCTCTACAGTCTTGAGACCGAGTCAAACGCGGTTCCGGTCAAGTGGTGGTGGGGATACTTAGATGGAGGTCAGACAGTTGTCAAGTCACCAACAAATGCTAAATAAAGTCAAAAATTTCAGCTGCAGTACAAACGTCTTCCATTTTTTCTCTTTATAAGGCATTTTACCTCTGCAAATAAAAAATGAATTGTGGCAGCCACAATTTCCATCTCAACTTTGGTTTTTAAATGTCTACTTCGTGTGTGATCATGGAAATCAAAACTTGGATCACGAAAGTTGAGGCGTTTCACACGTTCGAATTGATCTCCAGCACAGTCGTTTGTTTTTTTTTTTGACAGGTGAAGAAAAAATAGAACAAGTTCGCAATGAGTACAATGTATCTGACTACGAAAAAAGATTTTAAAAAGGCTATTTGCTTTTTGGCTTTATTGAGGTACAAAAAGAGAACAGTTACTTTTTGAACTTTCCAAGACGGTGAAGCCACCCCTTCCTCGTTTTGGGCGGCACTAGTAGATATTTTAATTAGGTCGGAGGTCAGGTGACAGCCATCACCTGGAATGCCGCATTGCATGGCAGTGCACGAGACCACATTAGTTTAGACACGTAAGCCTTCTATGATGGCAACTTTTGACTGGCGACTGACAAACAATTCAAGCCAATTTAATTTGAGATTTTGACAAGCAGTTCTTATAGTGTGCCTCTAACATTAAAATATAAAAACGACTTTTTATTTTATGCTTAAGTTGCATATTTATTTTAGTTATTCTTTGAGAAGTGGAAGACCAAACTTTCTGTAAATCAAAAACGTTGACAAGCGCATCCTACGGATTTAAAAATATGGCATACTCTTTGGCACAATGTCAGGTGACAGAAGTTAGTGGATTTTTCCGCATGACTAGTTACAACGGCATCAGTGTGGAGGGGGAGGGCCTTTGCCATCACTTGACCGGAACCGCGTTTGACTCGGTCTCAAGACTGTAGAGGACTCGCATTCAAAGAGGGTGCGATAAATACATCGCCTTGAGGCTGAAACTCTACTCTTGAGCATAGATAGAGAATCAACTATCACTGTTAACGCACGAGCAATTCGACTACACTTAAAATCTACAGAGAGGAAAAAGTCGAAAGAAAAGCTGACCGAAGGGATATCATTACCATAAATGCATAGATGACAACGAGATTCAAAGACTGCTCCTTCGTTCTTTAATTCTCTCGTGAAAAGATGCGTTCTACCCCACCTTAGGAGAATAGCAATTTACTTACTTGCGTGTGTATGACGAACTATGGACGCAGTTATTTATAAGGAACCTTCCTACGTGCCAATTGAGATGTGCAGGGACACTCTCCTCTCCAGAAGGAAAAACAGAAAGACTTTGTACAATAAGACTTAGCTTCGAATTAACCCACACCTTGGGGGTGGAGGTCTGGAAGGCTGGTACAGCATCACCTCATCCGCATTGTTCACACATTGCTTAATGTTAAACAATCGCCTAGAAGGTGAAAGAGGCAGGTAGAAATAGTGTGAAGTATTTTGGAGGTAGATTAGTGGTTGCCAAATACTAAATTGCTGAAGAATTGTTGAGTTTGCGACCTCCTGTCTAGTTGAAGAGGGACGAGAAATTACAGTGGTTCTTTTTTTGACAAGTAAAGAAAAAAGAACGGAGTTCTTTTGGTTCCCTTCTAGCACTTTGAAAGTTTGTGATAAATGATAAAAAGCGACTTTCATTTACGCTTAGTATGTCGAATGTTTGCCTTAATTCTTTTTCCTAAAAATAATCTTGAAATCCTGTATTTTGAATCACGACTAATGGAATGTTTACGGGCTAGTTGCTGAACTAATTGAACTCGGATGGAATTTGTCCACTTGGTCCATATGCTGTCAATCAGCTACGCCTTCTGAAAGGAATGCTGCCATTTATATGCCAATTCTACACTAGTCGAGTCATAAATCACAAACTCTTAGCGTCATGACTTTTAAAAATGATCTCCTTTGTTCACCTAAGCAAATGGGTGAGGCGATATTCCAGTAGGATAAATTTATTTGAAAGGACAAAGTAGCAGCGTCATCGAGTCTTCCCTGAAGTCGTAGTAATGATGTAGAGAAGAGCTGAGGATACTGACTCGGCCCGGACGACATGCCACCGAGCAGAGGTACAATCCAGGGAGACTAAAGTGCCCCCTGAACAAGTGCAGAGTAAAACAAACCATCAAAGTACTAAAATATATTTTTAAAAAAAGTAGCATAAAGATGCTTCATCAAGCGTTATGGTTTTTAAGCTATCATTGAATTAACGAGTTGGCATGATAACCAAGAAGTCTCTTCACCTTCTGACACATAAAGTAATGTATTGTTGTTCTGACGGAAAAGGGATGAGTTATTTTACTTATTTACGCAATAAAATAGTGACTAATCACTGATTAGGTGAGGTGTCACATTTGACACTTGACAACACTAGAACTCAGCCGGAAATCAATAACGCTGTCGGTCATCTGCGTTATGCATTACTTGCTCAAAAGAAATTTAAAGCCAAGGAGAGAACACCCACAAAAACATGTCAAATTGATGGACAAGCTGTCAAAGTAAAGTCGATAAATTGTGCACGTGAATAATAGAATGCCAATCACGTGGCTCCTTTATCACTTGACAGGTAATTGCATCTACTGTTAGGAAAATAAGTTGTTTTCAGCAAAACGGCTTTTTTCTTCGAAAAATTGACCATTTCTACCCCAGAAAAAAAGATGAAATTTCTTCCCAATAGTGGAAAAGGGTGGGCCAGTTTATATGCTTAAATAAAACAAATTTTGGCGCCAAAGTGAAGCTGTGTGCGTGCGTGTTTCGAATTTCATCTGGAAAATGAGGAGGGCAGGATATCTGTTGGAAATATGAGAATGTGAAATGGGCTCTGACGGAATGTAGATCCTAACAACGCAATGGTGGCTTGAAAAGCTGGGCGGTAGTGCTTTTGAAGAAGCATCACCAGACATTTGTACAACAAAACAATGTCGTTTTGGCATTTGATTCCAAGAAAATTAAAAAAGAAAGAGCAACAAATCCTTATTTACATTGAATCGGCAAATACTTGAAGAAATACACTCCCTTTAAATCCTTCAGTTGTTGTCTTGCCTACAGAAATCGCCGTTGAATTCAACTGAGGCGGCCTTAGATAGAAAAATATATGTCCAAATGGCATTCTTTAAAATAAAAGCCTGTTGCTTTTCATTTGATGCCTTACGATCAGTAAAGCCAAATGCCACTGGGCAAAAAACGCCATAATGCAGGTGCTGCATATGGTTAACTCGGGTCACACGTTCAATTTTGGATGTGACGGTCTTTCAACTAAACGGTCTAGGATTTCGCTATTTTTGGGTGAGGTTAGAATAAAATGGTCACCTAAGTAGTCAGCCAAAAGAATTTATAAGCTGCACTCATAAGAGTGCCAAAGTGACGAGTCGATGTGTTCTATGTGAGCACAAACAATCCCTAGTGGATACATTTGTTCCGAGTATTTTCCAAAATCTCAAACAAACTCAACTTGGAGCAAAACAAGTAGATCCTAAAATCACCCTGGAACTTTTTCAGAATAGGGAAAAACATTTTGTCAACATTGTTTACGCAGTAGATTTCAAAGTCGGGGGAAGGTACCAGTGTGAACTTAAAACTGTAAATAAAGACCGAGGTAGCTCTTTGTCTTTTAGAGTTGCCTACCATTCAATTAATTAGGCAAGGAGATAAAAATAGCAGTTGCATATTCCATAAAAATACGACTGCGTTTTGAATAATAGACCTGATAGCCATTGTTTCGCATTCGGATGAAGTAAAAGATCATTAAATGAAAGTTAATTGCGCAGAATTTATTTCTCCATTAAATGCCAGTTACGTCAAGCTACAAGTTCTCAAAGATTGGGAATTCTAGTACACCACCCAATCTCACAACATTTTTACTACTTGATTTGAGGCAGATTAAAGCAAAATTTTTGTCTGTCACGTGTAGACTGATTCATTACTGACTTGCTAGGTGTGCGTAACCTTTTTGGCTTTTTGCCAGATTGCAAAACTGACGAATTCCCTCCTTTTCACCGTATCATTTAAGCAAGATATTTTGGCCGGATAGAAATATGTGATATACACTTGATGGTCCTAACTATACCGGGTTAAGAATTGTTTAAGACCATCAAACTTGGTGATAATCAGTTAATAGCCTCGCCACCAGACTTGAAACATCAAATAGTGCATTTTTTTTAAGATGGAAGAGGGCATGCACTGCTCCTGAAATTGCACTAGACGATGACTTGAGGACCCAGTACTTCTGTGAGATCTGCGCGGTAGATTAAACACAAAAGATAGCTCAACATGTTGATAGTTTGTTTAACTCCCGATTTAAGCAGTGGACTGATTTAGAACTTCACCATTCCACCCTTTCAGACAGCCCGTCCTCTGAGGCAGGACAGATGATCCAAGCCCGACTGTACGTTAACTATGCGTACTCCTTCAGAAAGGTCTCAGCACACTTTAATGTTAGTAGATTACGATTTCAAAAGGCTACTAAAGTTGTAAATTGCAGGTAATCTTAGAGAGAATTGCGCCTAAAATTAACAAATAGTATTCAAACGCATTTTAAGGGATTCTGTGGCTAGGTAAAGCTTAGATGTCTTATACAATCAGCGAATAGGTAAAACAGGTGGTCAAAAAAGTGTTACATGTAGCAAAAACTTGAAACCCTGAATACTTAAATCTTTGGCATAAGGCGAAATTTGTGCACTGGTAAATATTACTCTAAAAATGTTTTTTGTTCAATAAACGTGAATTTATTAGGGAAATTAGTTAAATATATTTTTATTTTATTATCTGTAATTGGCAATGTTTTATTTATATTAGATCAGAAAAGTTTCTTCTGCGTCCCACAGTTTATCAGCTGTAAAAATGCTTAGCTGTACAATTTAATTACTGTAATTTTACAAATCTAAATTTATAAAAGCTTTTCTAAGGTGAGTATTTTTGGCAATTGGCGGCTTGTTGTTTTGATTATTGAAACCTGACCCCTTCAGTTACCCCGCATCGTTTGTCTACGACATTACTGGTATCGGTTACAGTGCCTTGGGCCTTCTTGGTGCACTCACACAAATTCAGTATGGCGGCTCGTTACCAGGAATCTTATGGCGTATCATCTGTAGTGCCATCGTTGTCTGTGCAACCGAAAGTTGGCTGCTGTCGAAAAGTTAGCATGTGCTGCTGCAGCTGCTGTCTTGCAGTTAGTGCAATATTAACAATTGTATTTTTTGTTGCCGGTGGAATACTTGTTTACATGAACAGAGACAATGACCTTATAACCGAAGAGATCAGGGACTTGTTCGACAATGACTTTCGACCAACCGAAGGCCGTGTTATGTGGTATACCGATTCTTGCATCACATTCCGAAGAAATTTTCATAATTAGCTTATTGATGTTTTTCTTTTCCCTAGGAAAGGTATCGGCATCTCGCTACTTGTTTTTGGTGGGATAATGTCCCTGCTCGTGTTCATAACTGGCGGCTTCCTGTGCTGCCTCACCCCAAGTAAACCAGTCGTCCCACCTAGCGTCTGCGTCGTAACCGTAGGTTTTTCGAATATTGTTCCAGCTTTTTACCCGCTTTTGTCGTTATATGTCTTTTTTGTTTCGAAAATGTGTGCTTATTATGTGATCCCTGTGTCTGATGCCCACTGTTGGCTTTTTGTTGGGTCGTTCTTTTTCTTGCTTTCTCCTAAATAACACTTATAATAAATTTTTCTGGCATATTACACCCATATGGTTATTTCTGGCTATTTGATACCCAGTAGTGTTGACAGTGCAAAGGTTTTCAACTGGATTGCATAGTAATTGATATGTACACTATCTTGAATGTTAAAGCCCAATTTATTGCTTTGAGTAGTTTTCAATTCGACCCTCTCATGGCAGGCGCACTGCCTTTGCGAGCACAGCCAAAATTTTCGTCTTTCTCTTTTTTGTGCAAAATTGTCGGACATCTAGTTGATGGGTAGGAAAATTTGAGACGATATTTGTGTCCTGAGACAAAGTCATGTCAGAAGAAAATTATATGGTTATTCTTACTCACCTATTACGTGACCTCTCAACGTTCCAATATATGCTCTAAATATTGAAAGGTCAGATTTACTTGAGGATGTGTACCATTTGTAAGTAAAAATGTGAATATCGGTTGCCAATGCAACATTAATACGTCACTGCGGTTTGGTCATTTGTCACATACGGCGAGTACCGATTGGTGCTCTTATTTTGTTTATGCCTCCCATTTGAGTTTAGCTTATTTTATAAGTCATTTCTCGCTTCAGGCAAATTGTGGCTGGGAGGTGTGGCGAGTTGCGGTGTGCAGGAGAGGATTGTGTGGTCTCACTGAGTTGGTTGGTGGTGGTAATGGAGGTGATGTCTGGTGTCCAGTATACAACCTCAAGCAATGCGAGGGAAGCTAATTTCATTGCTGATTTAGCTGACAAAGAGTAAAGTGGTGCCGTGTGCTTGGAGACCACAGGAGTGAGTGATTTGGTAGGAGGAAGTAGTCATGGGAAAGACGATAGGAATTACGAGGGATGGTTGTGGGAACATATCATAGTGTTGTTGGTCAAGTTAGGGAGATTTCGTAGAATAATGTGAGATGATGAGTGGCATAGCTGGTGTGGGGAGGCATGCAATTCCTTTTGCGGTTTGAAGGGTAAGGTGGATTTTCTAGAGAAACTAATGAGGCTGGGTGATGTGTTTTGTCCGTTTTAGCCACCTCCGGCATCGATAAATGCACCTGCACTTCCACAATCTCCACAAACCGTTCTTGACTCGTCCACCTATTCGAAAGCCACTGCACCTCTGTTGGAACCGCCACCTGACTATGCTCCCCCTTCTTACGAGAGTGTGACCGCTTCCAAGATGTCATGAGGGGGTTATCCTGCGCTTCCGCTGCCACCGGATTCGTCCCCAGATATCGATGAATGCGTCTGTCTTCATGAAGTTAGAAAGTTGTACGCGCCCAAATTAATACTACCCCTGTCAACATTACGATCAAATAAAAAGAATTTTGCAAATGTTTTAGCGTCTTTATCGTATGTTTTTTGTGTGGATGTGCATGGGATGTTGCGGACACGCGTGCTGATAACCGTCCCACGGACAACCGAAACATGCATGTGTTCAGAGAGTGGGGTAGCGTTGGGTACTTTTAAGCTTCGACTCGCACCCCGGGAAGGTAAAATCATCCGTTCCGTAGGAAAGTTCGTGTAGCATTCAATGGGGTTTTCTGTAATGCCTCTCTGTAGGTCGTGGGGGCATGTAGTCTGTGAAGGTGTTTCATTGTGTTCATATTTATCTCATGTATTGGAACGCGTTTTCACGTCATGCCATGATATCACATCTTGTTGTTGGTTGAGTCGATGTGAATGATGCGAGTTGAGGTTGTTACCATGAGGCAGGGAGTGCGACTCGGTTTTGGGGTTGTAGGAGTGTCTCGCACCGTAAATCGTACAACGTGAAGAAGGGGGCAAATGCGGTAACGCTGCATCGGTACGCATCACATGGATCTGCTCAAGAAGTGAATTTTGGTGCAAAAATGTTGTGAAGGGGACGCAAAAGGCTCAGGGAGTACCCCTAAGTATGTCCTTCATGTCTTCCATTCACCCTAAAAGGTGCTCCCTGACTTTTTGTCTGTAGATTGTTTCTGAATGTCATGGTCACGCGGACATGCACATCGTTTGGTGGGTTTTGTTTTAACGAACTACTCATTTACACGCAACAAATCATCATCACCATGTCTTCAGGAGGTTACCGTGGGGCTGTTTTCAGGGAAATAGTAGGGTGGTCGAATTGAGTTATAATGGATTATAGATTGGGCTGTTGGCTGTTTGGTGAACCCGCATCGTTACCTCGCCTATTGAAATGGAAGTGTATCCAACCTTTTGACGTAGCGTTTGGCAGACATGGATAGAATCTGATTAGACTTTGCGGATTCTGTAGTGTAAATTTGACCAAACGAAACTACCCTACTGTCTTAAGTCTGCCATGAGGGTGGGAGGGACTATTTTCTCCCATCCTGTGACCCCGGATCGATGGATACATTGGCATTAAATGCCCTCCGAGTTGTCTGTCTCTCTATGCGGGTCTCACTGAACGCCAAGACAAAATCATTATTTCGTCAATTTACTAAAAGATCATGCCAACGCAATAGGAGGAATCAAAATCACAATCACAACCATACACACCCATTTCAGAGGGACCGGCAGTACTGAATCAGCCAGCCACGCACATCCACACACACACACGTTCAAAGTCCGCTTGAAATGGTGTGCAATTTGCGCGCACCTAATTGGTCCACTTTTGTTGACCTATCACCTCAAAGGGGATTGGACTATACTACCTTTGTGTTGAATGATTGCAGACAGGTTGTGATTACGCTGTTGCCACTGTTTGGAGTAATTTATGTCATTAAATGCCCATGTTTGGGGCTTGTGATGTATATTTCCCAATTTTAAAAGAGGCATTCTCAGCATGCAAGTGATTATCAGGATTACCAGTTCACATAATTGAAGATGGAGAAATAAAGCATAGCAGGAGGTGAAAAAGGCAGGACAAAAGGCCCAGCAACCACAGACGGCACTTTACTTTAGCATATGTTGTGTTTTAAAAAATCCGTCGGTTCTTTTATCTTCGCTTGCCATCTTTCATTTAGCATCTATCACTTTGATCGTAAATATGTGCATTTGCACACATCAACTTCAAGAATGTGTATTTTGCCGCTTCTCCTTCAAAAGCCCATATTTCATATTCCCAAAAATTGCGCACAGTAATTAAACATTTGCTAAAAAAAATCGATAATTTGCGGTGAGTGCAGACAATGGATTATCGGTTTGTACCCGCGCTGGGACGGCAGTTCCCACCACCCGATCGATATTCCAGTCCGGGCCGCCATCTCAACCCACCCGATGGAATATCGCTTAAAAGGGTGTATTTATAAGAGAGAGGAGC